GTCCGTCGTCGATCTTCCTTGATGATTTCACGAATTTTTTCAACATTTTCATGTGTTCGGGCCGTGGAAGGACGACCAGAACGAGGTTTGTCATCAATTGACATTTCACCATTTTTGAAACGGGAAAACCACTCAAACACTTGAGTTTTCCCCATAGCATCGTCCTTGTACGCCGTTTTTAACATTTCAAGAGTTTCTGTTCCACTTTTCCCGAGCAAAAAGCAGAATTTCACCGCCGCACGCTGTTCACAAAAATCAGCCATTGCAAAAACGACGATCACACAAAACAGTTGTCACTATAAACTCTGCCGAAACTAGTCCTTACCTTCTGAAGCAACGGTAGTCGGCTTATCGACTCAGGAATGTTAGCTCTATGCGCTCATAGCGGCAAAACGTGGTACTACAAAAGCTCTGCCCACAAAAAAATTAGTTCGGTTTCTTTTGGGTACCCCATCGTACAATGCTTGGATGCTCTACAACTCGCTTATGGAACTATCATGTCTTCCTTGTTGGCATGTAATTTTGACCCTTCCTCAGACATGGCAGTGATATTCAGTTCCTGGGTGTGTCTCAGAATACCTCAATAACACACTTCTATAGTGCTAATATCCATGATGTGTTTTGATGACAGTGTGCACTGATTTGCCCAGAATTAATCCCAGCCTCATGTGTTTTCCAATATTAAAAACTTTGATGCTAACAGGTAAAAAAAAAATGTGTGAGGTGTGAACAAACATCTTTGGAGTGGCTGAAAATGATGATACAGTGCACTAGCATCATATGCATATTTGACTTATGTAAATTAAACCATATTTCTTAAAAAAAAAAAAACTTTAAAGTCCCCAAAATAGTGTTTTTGGGAGAACAGGAAGACTAATCAGTGGAATGTTCAGGATGAATGGCAGGTGTTCACATTCACTGCTTTCCTATTTTATTCTTTCATTTTTCTGTCCCTCTAATTTTACGTAATTAAAAATAAAAATACTGTACATTTTACATTTACAGTGGAACCTCGCTTAATGAGCACCTCTCATAATGAGTAATTCGCATAATGAGCAAAACAAATTGTAAAAAAAAAAATTACTCACTTAACGAGCGATGTTAACATCAACGATTTGCACTATCCTCAAGAACAAGGACAAGATCAGGGAGATAGATGCTTCAAAGGGAGTGACAAGAATATCCACGCAACGGTTACATATTCTCGACGATGTTGAAAGGTTGCTCCTCATATGGATAAACGAAAAGCAATTGCAAGGCGACACTATTAACGAGAACATCATTCGTGAGAAGGCGAAAGTGATTTTCGCCGACCTCATTAAGAAGACGCCAGGATCATCGATGGCTGAAGAAGAAGCATTTAAGGGAAGCCGTTGGTGGTTCGAGAAGTTTAAGAGAAGAACCGGCATCCACAGTGTTGTAAGGCACGGTGAAGCAGCAAGCTCCGACACAAAGGCAGCAGAGAACTTCCTCGGCGGCTTCAAGAAGCTCGTAGATTCTGAGGGTTACATGCCGCAACAGGTTTCTAATTGTGACGAGACGGGTCTCTTCTGGAAAAAGATGCCGAAACGAACCTATATAACAGCAGATGATAATGCACTGCCCGGCCATGAGCCAATGAAAGACCGTGAATGAAGATGATTCACGCTCCTTAACAATGTATAATATTCTTTGAATAAACGTTATACATAAATTTTTTTGAGTATTTTTTTTGGCATGGAACGTATTATCGTATTTTACGTTAATTTATATGGGAAAAATTGTTTTGCTGAACGAGTGTTTCGCATTACGAGTAAGATTCTGAAACGAATTATGCTCGTTAAGCGAGGTTCCACTGTATATGTACCCTTTATCATATACATTATACAACTGTATGCGCACATTAGATGCTATATACAAAAGCATGGTCTTATGAGCGATTTATAGGATTTTCAAATATAATTCTGACTGTATGTAATGTTTGGTTTATGAGCCATTTTTAGATTGAAAACCTTGCATAAGATGAAACTCCACTGTATACATTTAGTATAGAATTCCCTGCTAAATTATGGTAGAATACTGTCGTGTGTAGGGGGGTACACGTGACTGATATTGTGAGTTCTAGATTTGATTGACTGGATTTATTAGGCATCTCCATCATAATTTGACTTGATTACAACAGTTCACACATTTGACTCTTTCTGGATAACGAATCTCTCACTGCTGTCTGGATCTTGCACTAGCCTCTAGTCTTCTCTTCTTTATCCTTTTGTATTCTTCTGTTGTATTCTATCCTTTTGTATTCTTCTGTTGTATTCTGTCTTCTTTTGGTCATTTCCCTCCCTGAGGTAGGTTTTGGCCAAACTGTATGGAGTTCACCTCCTTGAAGGGTTCTCTTTATGCATCTCCAATGTAAGTGCCCATTTCTGTATCCATTGCCTAGATGTCTTAAATAGTTCTTCTGTTGTCATGATTATTAAGACCTTCACTGCAAAGTAATTGAAGTTCTCTTGTTGACCGCTTTCCACAAGTTTTTCTGGTTCCACATCTTAATGCTTTGACCAACACACCAAAATACAATCTTGTCAATCACTTGATGTTAATTTAAAAACTGTAGGATGTGTCATTCAGGAATGAGTGGTCTATAAAATATGACTGAGTGTAGTGATATCTGTGATACGTTTTTTTTAAAAAATGATAAAACTTTAAATAACATCCCCTACAAGTACAACAAAATCTGTTTCATAATAGACAAAAATGCTGCATATGCTACAACATGCTAAAACTGCTTTTGGAGAGGAAATAATGAGCAGATCTCATGTATCTGAATGGTTTTTCTACTGCATGTGGAGAAAATACTGCGCATTGTTTTTGTATACTGATGGAACTATGCATCTGGAATTGTTCTCAAAAGGGAAAACTGTAAATCTACATTTCTAAACAGATGTTCCACTGTGTCTATGGGAAACAGTGAGTATCTGTGTTGATATAGGACTACTTCATTTTTGTGTCGAAGTGAAATGGCAGATTAGCTTGCCATTTTCAGACAGGAATGTTAAATTCAGAGCATTTCAATGGGAAAGGATTAAAGTTACTGATTTACACTAATGTACCAGTGAGATAAGACTGAAACAACAGGTTATCCAGTACTCTGTTTCATATGCACTGTTCTCATCTATGAAATTATCTTCTTGCAATTTCTTTGTCCATTTTTGATAAAATTAGAGTCAGTTTCAATAATTCTGTTACATAAATACAGGCAGCTCAAACATGGTACACTGTCTAAGGAAGGTGAGCACACAAACACATTACACACAATATAAACAGAAATAACATCATCAGACTCAATGAACCATATGAAATGTCATGTTAAAATGAGGCGTTAACAGTAGTGACCGTCCTTCCTGTGTCAACAGAACAATGTAGAGAAACATCAATGTTTTGGGAACGCAGAAAATTTTGGAGCTTCAGACATTTCTACAGAAAGGATGTTATTCTTGGGCATGGCATATAAAATCCAGAATTTAGTCCTAAGCACAACTCTTTTCAGTTGCTACACATACCAGCAAACAATTGTTGTGGACTGGTAAAACTGACAGAAGCAAAGAAATCAGATCTGCTGGTGCATTGTATGTATCAACCTCAGGGCTAAAACCAAGCATGAGAACACCAGCAAACATGTTTAAAAAAAAAAGCGCTGGTCCTAACTATAAATTCAGTTGTATCATTATTCCATCTATTTTAAGCCAACAACATATGATCTGTAAATTCCAAAAGAATGTACATGGGAGCTGTGATAATATCTACCAACAATTTTATATGATTTGTTTGTCAGTGCATATGAATAAAATAGTTACTTGTGGCCCTTTGATGAAAAAATAATCTAACATAAGGAATGCAAAATGCGCTTTACTCCCCAGGATTTTATTTAATTAATTCCTGGTACTCATTTCTGTTAGAGGCTGAGTCAACCCCAGTGCCATAGTGTGGCCGGAAGGATTAGGTCAATTGAAAAAATCCAATGACCTCATTGGGACTTGAACCCGCGACCTTCTGGCTTGTAGCATAGTGCCTCAACCAACTACACTAGCAGGAAAGGATGCCAGACATTGTGTACAAAAGTACCCGACGTGTGTTTTGGGTTAATAATGAATGCACATAAGTAGCCACTGGAAACAGTGAAAAATACCTCAAAACTATTCCTTCACCTCTGTGCAAAGGCACATACAGGCAAAAAGATCCATAATGCCATCACTGGAGGATTATATCCTACATCATTTGTTGTTCCATCATGAACTCCATGCATACACACATACATCATCTAAACCACTGAACCCTTTAATGTACTCGTACAGTGGCAACTACACATATTGTCTGCTTTAACATTATAACACTCTGCATTTTGCCTACTGAGTTAGCTTTCATATGATTCACAGAATAAACAACAATTATGCCTCTAAACAGCATTTTCAACTAATTTTTGTAATGGAGGCATGGCATATTTTCTGTGACATAAGAAATTAATTTTAAAATATTATTTATATGAATTCTGCGCTTGAAGAACATTTACACACAAGTCTTTCTCTAAAGACAAACCAAATCTGCTTCTAAACTGTGAATTTAAATCATAAAGAAACTTCATTCAAATCTTATAAAATTGAAGATACATTCTTTCAGAAGACATGCAATTGTTTGTTCATTTCTGTACCTTAAAATACATTCATCATTTTAAAGCTTCTGTACAGTTTAGAGTGAAAGCAGTAACACCAGAATTTACTTACTACGATACGTAACTAAAGACATGTCCTGAAAAGCGAGTTTCACAAATATGAAATACAAAAATTCAAAATACAAACCGGTGTGTCACATTGGCTTCAAAATATGACAGCACAGGATAATTTCTATGGCAGAAATAAAAGGACAAATTCTGTCACCACTGTTATGCCAAAGTTAGAAGAGAAAGGGTATGGTCAGTTCATTGAGTCTTTCAAACAGCTGGAGGGAGGCCAAGACTCTCTCACCACTGTCGCTGCCTAGCAGGTGCTCGAGTCGGCTGTGGTGATGGGGATGCGGCTTCTTCAAAGAGCCGTTTCAGTCGTTGAATGTCATCAGGAAACAAGGGAGGGCGCCAACGCCTGTAGGCACTGCAAATTCCCATTGACATTCACACCTTTGCTTACATATACACTGGTACCCAGACTTCTTTTTGAAGCTGATATTTATAAACAGCATGCTACTCTGCTGATTACGGATATCAACAGATACAAAAATGAAATACCAAACATCCAAAATACATTACCAGTATAAAGCTTAAAATCTGAAATACAATATCTTACAAAATCACCATTGGTATAACATTATTCTGTAAGTTACTTACTTACTCAATGGCTCTAGAGTTCTTTAAGTACCTTGGCTTCCTTTGCGAATTTTGCAAATTCTTTTAAATTATTTGCCTTTTCTTCCAGCTTGTATCTTTAAGCTCTGGTATATCATTCCCTGCATCTTCCAGCCATTCAATATGAGCCCTCTGATTTCCTACTTTCTAACTTTCTTTCAAAAACTGTCTTAGCTATCCTCGCTTGATCCACTGGAAGTACACACCCCAACCACTCCACCCTTGTTTTTATGATACCCACTTCCAGATTAATTCCTTCAGTTCTTAGTTCTGACCCTCCAAAGCCCTTTATTCAGTTACTGGGATATACACATTAGACAGAATATTCCTCATCCATGCATTTAACATTAAATTCAGCCTTTTTAATGCTGGACCATGTTTCATATCCATATATCATAACTGATTTTAGCGCTATTCTGGGTATTTTAATTTTTTATACTCTGTTCAGAGTTCTAGACTTAATAACAAGTTTTAAACCATAACAGCATTGAATGTCTGTGAAGTTCTCATCTTGATTGCTTCATTAATTTCATTCAACCATTTTCCTTCAGTTTTTAACTTAATTTCTTGAACTGTCACAATGGCAGCATTGTACTGCTCTGATTCCAGTTCTGATTGTCATATTGCTCCTGTCCTGAATGACATGAACACACTCCAACACTGTGTAAGCTATATCTAAATCAAGACACAATGGTGTCAGACATATTTCCTATGTGATTTTCAATATGAAAAACTGACAAAGTTATGCAAATGTAAAGAAATCTGCAGGTATGAAAATTCTAAAGTTATAAAAAATTTCATGGACTTTATAATTCCATATTCTCACAAATTTTAATTCATATGACTACGGAAATCCTAACTGATATAACTGTACTATAGGATTTTCACAGCTTACATACGTTACCAGGAAAGAAATTTGTGTGAGAGGGATGTACTACCATACAAATGCTAATAGTATGACTTTGAAAACAATATATCAAGTAGTAACACCTTCCCTCCAACAAGAATTCAATGACATTTTATTTTTTCTGGCAGGTAATTGATTAAATCCAGCAGTGTTATAGAAACGTGGTTCATCTAGAGCCCAGACAACTAAGTCAAAAATGTAAATTAAAAACTTCAGTGATATAAAACTGACAGTCATGACACAATCAGAGTGTGGAACCAGTTTGGTTTAGTTTAGATTCTGTTCATCCTTTTTCCTCAAACTTCTAACATATGGCACATTATGATACATGATCAGGAAGTTACAGAAATTCAAGACTTCAACCAAGTTTCAACCATGTACAATACTGCATATAATACAAATACAATTCACTGAACCAAATTACTTAAAACGTACCTTCTACTAATCAATATGGAAATGATTCATTACTCCACAATGATTAAGTTCATTTCAACACAAAATTCGGCAAAGCAATTTCAACAATCCCACAAAGCATATATGAAGAACAAAGGCAAGAATTCAATTCTATATTCAACATAATAAAATCATAATACAATTAACACTTAATACAAACTGATATACCACAGCAGTGCTAAGTCTATGAGGCATTATCACACCAATGAAATTTGATAATTTTCATGCAATGTATGGAACAAATATCATTTCTCTGGTAGATGAATATCTCATTAACTTCTTCCTTGTAGGAGGTGACTGCAGCCTTGTTCCTTATATGCAACATTCAGTCACCAATTCAAATGACATCAGTTTCCTAACAGGTGATTATTTATATCCATAAAATGTAAAATATTTTACATAATGGAAACACTGAATTAAAGTTGTCCTACCTTCGGAGTTGCATGCGTGGTGATTCTGTATCGCTGAGGTCTAAGTCACTGTCCACATGCATGCGATCACCCCATGTAGCCTTCAAGTATGACACCCTCCGCACCAATCGTTCCTCTTCCGCTGCAGCACATAAAATGTTCAGCAGTCTTTTCTTTTACCAAATTCTGGCTGATAGTTTTGTCATGTGTGATGACCTGTCAAGATTTTCTTTCTCATTAATGATTTGTACTGTACCAGTTATGAATTCACCTACAGCAGAATATGAAACGCTATTTCCATACATTTGAAAGTAATAGAACTGTATTTAGTATGTATTGTTTGGAACCTAACCTGCTTTAATTGGTATTATTAACCATACTGTACTAATCATTCACTTTAATGAAACCCAAACATTTGTAAGTTTTGATTCTTTCTCATTCCATGATTGTATCACCTGTTACTGAATATGGTACATATTAGAAACTCATGAAATTGAAGAGGAGAGGGACATTTTGGCTGCCAATCTGCATATTTACTTACTTATGTGTTCACAAAACAAAAATCAGTATATGAAATACAAATGTCTTAAATAACAGACCCTACATTCGATTTTGCCATTGGTCACAGACAAAACGAAAAACAAAGTCGAAAAAGGACTCGTGTAAAAACAATGCATGTTCACAGCAAGGTGTCATGGCAGGCTGATGCAACAGGCTTGCAGAAGTGTGACCTTGGTCTCCCCTCTCATCTTTTTTCACCTAGGTAGTTACAACAATAACAGTCCAGGACTTTCCAATACCACCTCCTATAAACAGCAGCTCCTTGAACTGTTGCTTCTCTGCTGTTTCTACTGCTTTCTGTTGGGCAGGGGGGACACTTTTCTCTTTAACATCTACTCATCAAAACTTGTACAGATTCAATACTTCCTCTCTTGACAGACTATCATCATAAACTACAATGAAGAAGATATCACATTTGTTGCTTTAAATATGAGAAAGAAAACAGTAATCTGTTACTAAAGAATTCTTCTCTAAATTAAGAACTGATGTGCATAATGTTCAAATATGACTAAACCATATTGTGTTTTGTACACTAACATCAACCACAGTAATAATAAATTAAATTTATCAAATACTAAAAAGCATAAAATGTTACCACTGCTGAAGTACTAAAATAATATATTAGTATGACTATATTTTCAGGTAAGTAAAATAAAGATCTATTGTAATTCTTCAAACAGTAGCACACAAAGCTGTATTAATGTTAGTACTACCATGCCTAGAAATATATTCCAACTTTCAGTCAAAAGATAAAAGCATTAGCTGAGAACTGAAACCACAGCCTTCAATTTTACAATCTAGCTTTAATACTTAGCTAAATAATTTCCTCAACATCAACAGCACTAAAAATGTTAGGCTTTACTTCAAGAAACAGAGTGAATACTACTAAAAATACTGCAGAACTAGTGATATAAAATTTGAGATAAAATCCATTTGTAACCAACTGTATCACTTATAAAGTGAGATACTGGGAACAGTTTTATACTGCAGTAACAATGTATAAACATTTTAAAGTAACTCTATAACTACATGCCCACCATTTTATGTCCCTTTTATAGGTCCAAAAATATCTGGATAGGAAGTAATCTTGGTAGAAAGAGGACATGTGTATGAAATGGACATGTAACTACAAGACAGTTAAATAATGGCAATCCTAGGATGCAGATATCATCAGATTACCGTTACTGAAACCTTGGCCTCTTGGGGACCTCAGCACCATTACAGTAACTTTCTATTTCCCCTCCCATGTAGAGATGTAATTAATTCAACTGATATGACAAATTTCTAAATAGGGAATATATGTAAAAGAAAGAGTAAAAATTAATTTAGGGGTCCTAACTCTTGGTTACGGAGTAGACTAAACATTCATTTCTCTGCTCCACTCACATATCTTAGAGAACCACAATAGCAAACTCGCTAAATTTCACATGACACATAGGACTATTGATTTAATAGATACAGGTTATGAATACTGACCCTCAAAACTCGTTGATTCATGTAAATGAATAAAAGTTGTAACTACTCCTTTTTCATCCTTTTAATAAAAAATTTAAAGAACTGTAAACTTGGCTATGAGGATTTCAGAAGCAAGTACAGCGTTCAGTACCCATACCACAAAATGTAATCTGACATAAACCCTACAAATCATTGTTTCACATTTCATCTTAACATTTGCATTGTTAGAAACAAATAGCCATGAATGCTGAAAATTATATCACTTGACAAAATTTTATTTAAAATGCATCAGTCAAAATAAGTAATCATGACACTTTTCATGTGTGTGTGTGTGTGTGTGTGCGTGTGTGTGCGTGCGTGTGTGTGTGTGAACAGATCTCATACTATGGTTATCCCTCCAAAAATTAGCCTTGCCTTTGTCCATATCTAGGATGACAAAATAAAACATGGTTGCAACCTTCACAGTCACTAACATGTCACAACCACCATAAGCAGTCATCAACAGAACAACTAATGTTCCTAGGCAAAAGACAATGTAACAACAGAAACACAGATGCAAACATGATTTTGGTTGGGTTCATTAATTATTAATAAGACGTATGCTTCCATTTAAGTATATGGAGTTTATTTCCTTATGACAATTATGTACTGTTAAAATGCTGAAATGTTTGGTCTTAACGAACCATCTTATGGAGAATACCACATTAAAGGAAAGTTTAGAAATCATATGGATAAAAACAAAGTTATGTTAAAATTCACTGATACAGGATGTAGTACAGTTTTGTGCATTATGGTGTGTCATGCCATTTTGTATTCTGCTGTCTCATACTCATTTTTTTAGGTGTCAATACAGAGAAACTTTCAAGTTTTGCTGTAATTCTTGGTAGATGGAAATGTCAAATATCCGATCTGTTATGCTTTGTGAAGATCATCTAGTAAGACTGAAACATGTCAGGGCTTAACAACGCTTAATCATCATAAGGTAATAAACTAGATATATTTAGATGATAAGTAAAATCTTATTTAAAGAATGTTCCAAAATCTGGAAGAAACATAAACTGGTTTTAGATATGAAACTCCTTTTAAAAATGAACAAAACATAAATGAAACTGAAATAAATTAATGTGACTCCTAACATCCTACAATCAGTGAAAATCCAATGGTTCATGGGATTAGGAGTAAAGTAACATAGGAATTACACCAGCAAATGAACTGTACTTACAAACAGTTGTGTTTTTCTGTCGCCGAACTACACCTGATGTATCAGGAGATGCCGTAGTGACAACATTGCTACTTTCACTTGAAACAGTACTAGGAATTGTACTAACAGGAACTGAAACAAATGAGGCGACAAACACAACATGCCACATCAATGCAGGTAGATCACAGGACAAACAACGAAACCTCAAAGCTACATACTACTGACAATCACTCAAATCTCTGTTACATTTAGTTCTACCCCAATGTTCTGAATGTTCTTAAAAATTAAACACTGCATCATAATATCCTGACAATTTGTTTCATTCAACATGTCATACTTCATGTCTCAGTAATTCTAACCACCGTAATTAACTGCCAGAAAAGATAGAAAACAAAACAACTTTATTCCAAGCTTGTAACCCTTCTCTTTCGTACTCTGCTTCCAACCATGACAGCAACAGTGGCCATAAGAGTAGTGAAGTGGTGCAAACATAGAGTGACCTAAAGGACTGCTCTCTTTTCTTTCTTCATTGATAGATTAAAAAGCTGTTAAAGAAATTATGGAAACTTCTCTCATCACCTCTGCAAAGTCCCTGTTCTGATGCTAATTCATGTAGGAGAGGGGTTGATACAGACTAGAAAAGTACATAACATCAAACTGTGCTCAAGATAGAAACCTAGCTTCAAATTTGCAAGACACAGTAGGTGTCCTGAAGTTCTAACTTCAGCTAATCTTTTCAAGCTCTTTCCCTGTCATGAAGAAACATAGGTGATGCTCTCTACCAAACACATTTTTCTGCTGACTAAAAAACCTATCTTGTATCAATCACAACAATACACAAAGCTTTAAGAAGTAAACGCAACATGTCTTCCAAAATGGCCATCTGAAGGGTCCACAGAGCAGGTGAAAGTTTAAAAGAGAAGAAAGCAGGCAGAAACCAAGATGAGCAAAGTATAACACCTGCTTAAACCAAATAAGTGGTTCATACTAATTTACTATCAAGGGCAGTCTTGAAAACATATGTCCTCTACACCTGGTAATAAATAAATGCTTGCATAGTGTCTGATGAGATCATGATGATGTCAGCTCTACTAGTATGCAGATTCCAGTAACTAAATTTAAACTCGTTGTGAAATTTACAATGAAACTTGTGGGGTATCTTACCTACTACTGTTACACATTCATTGGCTACAGAAAAGGGAAGTTTCAGAAGTAATCATTTTAAACAGTAAGAAAATTAAGGAGTCTGTATAGAAATTTTCATTGATTCTTCCTGTATATTTATTACCATTATGTTTACCTTCATTAGCCCCACTAATCAAAGCAAATGTTGCAGACAGGAAAAACACTGTCCTACAATCTGCATAATACACTCCACAGTTTCAGGCTATTTCACTGGTGACCATTCTATCCTGTACCTGCTGCACAGAATGACCTCCTATGTATGGCTGATGCAAGAGACTGCTAATCTCTTGACATAAAGACTACATATTCAGAACCTTCACATTAAAAGATCATATCAATCTACCACTTAAGACCAAAATTAATCTTCAAATACATGTATAGCATAATTAACAATATGTTTACACTATGCTACGTTATCCTTGCCTTAAAAACAAACATCAGCTTTGCTAGTATTACCTTAGCTACAAGAAAACGTGGTATACCAGATTGGTAAATGATAGCAATAGAATGCAATGAATGGAAGTGGCTGTACAAATTACTTTTATAAATATTACCTTTCTTTTCTCAGAAATTATGTTATATATGACTAAACTATAGCTGAACAGTGCCACTTAAGTTTCTTAGATTACAGAAGGAAATTAAAAAGAGCATGGTCTTCAAAATTAGTTACAACACATTTGTTGTACTTTCATAGCCACACAAGTAACAATGTTATGAAAAATTCTGTTTTACCATAAAAGTAACACTAACTTCCCCAAACCCATGCTTCCACTGTCAAGGGCTGAGGCTTCATATGACTTCTCCGGACATGTTTTATAATCGCAGTTCCTTATACCTACAGACAGCGGAACATTAAACACCTCAACTCATCAATAACGTTTCTGTTCCTCTACAGAACTAGTTACAAATGGTCATGGCTTTTGATTTTTAAAATCAATGCAACAACATGCTCAAGCTGCAGTCTACTGTGCATAAAAATGTTTATTTCATATTTCCATCTACTGTGGTTATTAAGTTAGCATATTTACATGCACTACTTGAATAAAACAAAAGCAGAAAACATGCTGTAAAACAATTACTGTACAGCACAACTCAAACAATTGCATAAAATATTCTATCAGTGATATTTTAATGCAAATTCAGTATATTTTGTCATCATATTCACTGTTCCTTAATAATATTCACAACTTTAAATTATGTACCATGAGAACCAAACCTGCAGAGGAACAAACAAGAGAAGTTTCACACAACACCCACAAGCATCTATTGATATTGCAAAAGTAACGTGAATTCTGCTTTCTGTTGATAAATGAACTGATAATTAATTTTCTGAATAAGTATTATATACAGAAATGAGAATTAATAGTCGGCTCATATGAAATTACAATAATTATAATGAAATGCATCCTTTAACTAAGGGCCATGCATCACCCATACCACTGAATGTAGTGGTCATATAGTTAACACTCCCAAAATGTATGCAGGATATCCAGATTCTAGTCTTGACCAAGAGATCAGCTGGGTTCGATCCTGGGTCTGGTCAAGTGGGATTTGTGGTGAACAAAGTGGCGCTAGGGCAGGTTTTCTCCGAGTACTTCGGTTTCCCCTGCCAATCTTCATTCCACCAACTGCTGCACAATCACCCTCACCTATCATCTGGGGCTGGTACAATAGGCCAGAAGAGGTTGCAGTACAAGGGACTTAGTCCCACCCCACTAGCAATAAAAAAGAAAGAAAAAAAAAAAGAGATCAGCTATCCTGACCAGGATATTCTGTAGAAATCTTCGGTTCCTCTAGACAAACACCAGGATCATATCTCAAATCAGGCCATAGCCATTTCCATCTACATCCTTTCAATTCATTATTCGCTAATTACCATATTATATGAAGCTATATAATCTCAACTATTGAAGGAATTTGCAACAAACCAAAAAGAAATACTGCCACCTGTACCATTGATTCAGCATAAAATATGAGAAATAATACATCGGCATTGTGGCACAGGATTATTTGGAGTGTACTATGATTTCTAAACAGTAAATTTTCTTCTTCTGAGCCAAGTAAAAGCATTTTCATCTCTACAAAATGAGACTTCCACTTGAGTTGTGCTGTACTGTACATTAAAGCAAACAGAATTTGACCAAGCCCTAACCTGGAGAGATGTCATTGAGAGCTGCCACAAGCTTCCCGATGCCATCATGTGCTTCATTCGTGTCCCCATCTTCAACCCCACAAGTGGGAGAGGAAGTCACAGGTTGCGGTTCAGCCGGCCGAAGAGGATGAGCAATAGGAAGCTGGTTAGGTCTCTCTGCAGGGGTTGCAGGAATCGGTACAGTAGAGGGAGAGACGGGAGGAGTCAGGCTGTCCATTTCTTCATGTTCATCCATGGGGAGTGCACCGTGGCGTTTAAGCAATCTGGCCATGCGTTCTGACAGGGTGGCCACAACAATAATGGAAGATAAATAGGAGCAAAGAAAAAAGTAAAAGAAATATAGATAACATAACAGAAGAACACCGACTGTTTTAAAAATATAAAGCAAGCTACTACGCATCTGTACATAAATAAAAAGAAAGTTTTAAAAATGAGTGAAATGCAAGACAATAAAGTTGTGAAAATCCAACCTTAAACTTACATTTCAGAAACTGACAACTTTTCATACATGGATGACAATCATCCTTTACATCCAACATCAAAAGACAGTGTAACAGAGTAAGAGCAATAAAATGATTTATGCATTTAACTTCTTTCTAAAAACTTCTTCTGACAGTTATACTCTGGAGAGTAAACCTTGTGCTATCAGTTCTCAACGTGCAGACTGCACAAATATGAATGTTATAATGGCTCTTACTCAATTTTTTAGTTGTATGATGCTTCAAGAAATTTTAGAACAAATTCATCCTTCCTTACTGTTTATTCATCCATAAATGTTTTCTTCTCAGTCATTTCAAGCTTTGCATTTCATTCACTGATAATACATCTCAAAACCTGTCCAAATGTGCAAGCTACAACAAAGTTTACATGTGTATGAACATCTATAAATAATGCATAGAACAAAGGTGGCTAAAGTTCCCACATATATACATATACACACAGTAATCACATGAACACATATCAGAAACTAGGATTGCCCACACAATACCAAATGTGCCAAAACAAGGAGAAGACCATTACATCTCTGAAACATCCAATTTTTACACAATATTATGTACTAAAATTAATAATATCTGCAAAATGCAAAACTAATAACTGTGCCCCCCCTCTGTGTGTGCACGCATGCATGTGTGTGCGCGCTCTTGTTTATAACCAAAGTTAAAAAATAATGAATCAATTTCTTTTAAAATTTTTGGGAGAATAACCAAACATAAAACATGTATGCCAATCTAGACAAATATGTCTCAAATACAATTAACAAAGGCAATCTGAACCTATCAAGAGGAAATTCTATTTCTGACAAACAAATAGAATGATATTTTAACTAATTAGTCAACCTGCTATAATCAGAATTATGAATTTGTCTCACGTCCTAACTAAATCCATCAGCCAAGTAGCATAAAATCAAAGGAATGTCACTATTCTTCATGATTATAAAACATTTCTGTTTCATTTTTAAACTGTAACCAAGTCTTCCATCGAAAGGATATAAAACATAAAAGTTCTTTCAAAACTCTGCAGGTTTATCTATACATATAATCTGCATGTAAAACGTTATGCCGAATTACTACATCACAGTATTTCCATTTAAAGATGTGACTACAATGATAATACAAGACAAGCCAATACATGTAAGTGAACATGCACCTCATCCTTTGAAGTAACAGGCACCTCACCTGCTGTAACCGGTGTGCGAACAGCAGCGAGGTATGAGTCCTGTCGAACAGCTTTGTGTCTTTGTGGTTCGTTGGCCACATCACCATGGTCATCGTCCCTGCTACGTGGCCATTCAAGAGTGTTGCGAACTGCTTCTTGCCGTGATGCAGATCCCGCAACAGCTGCCCAAGACTCAGCAGAATTTGAGCGTGCTCGCAACTTGACTGGTTCATTTCTTTCATCTTGATTTTCACTTGATGGTGGGTCTGGAATTCATAATGAATTAAATTATTATACAAAATGAAATATGTACCACTACATAATCTACTTCCAGTGGTAAGTGCCTTATAAAGAATTTTAAAATGTTGTAAAACAAATCATGTGCACTCATCCCTAAAACAAATTAATGTGCCTCATGCAGTTACTAAGAAATCTACAGTACAGGGATGCATAAGTTCACGGGTCACTCACTGATTATGATGAAAGTATTGTAGGTTGTACTACCTTTGTATGTATGTATGTATGTATGTAGGTAAAAGGTGGGCCATAAAAACCGCCCCCACTGCAACCTTCAATGATCTATTGTGCTTCCCCTTGGATTAGCCCTTCAGTAATCCTACGCTTTTAATAAAGTGTAGGACCTTGCTTTTGGGGGCATCATAAAAGTCACTTGCTACCATATATTACCTTTGTATCTTGATCAAATTCTTTTTGTTCTATAAGAATGATTAATGAAGCACCATGTAAAATATTCTGCTGATAAAGAACTGGGAGATATAAACAGTAACATCTACATATTCTCAAAGTGTACTAAATACTTCATTTAATTAATAAGCACTATCTGGCAGACCACACATAAAAGTGTACAGACACACAGTCAGAGAAAACACTCTTGAGAGCAAGCTTCAATACAAAGCTTACATTTACTTAAACTAATGCGCTGAAGTTATGTTAGTAATAAAAATTTCACTGCTGTCAACAAATCATGACCATGGATCCTTTGCGAAGAAAAGGTTTCAGCTCTTTTACTTAGTCTCTGTACTCCTCAACTCTCCTTCCATACTGAGTAGGAAAAATCTGTTATCACCACTGAAAGGTATTTGATTGCTTGGCTTTTTCATGTTCTGCATTAAATTACAAATATTATGAGCGACTGATTCTGAATAGTGAATCAGTTAAAAAAACAGTTATGGCTTACTTAATGGACCTAATCTGATAATCACTAGGAAGGTTCAAGGAAAATCTAAACTAGCCTTCCATTCAAGAACCTTAGCAATGTCAGTAAGATACTTTATCACACAGCTAACTCACTCTATTTTCATTTTTTCAGATTCCACGATCGTAGATATGTGCCATTCATGAGACTAAATACAAATCTGTGTGATCATGTTATTCTAAGCTAAACTGATGTAATAATTTCATAATATTTAAAACTGGGTGCAATCATTTCACTCCAAAAGATATGTAGCAGTCATTTTAGTAATTTCAAAATTTAGAATTTTATGATAAATTGTGGTCCACATCTATACTAGATTTGAGAAATCTGCTAACAATCTTCAGTGAATTTTCTTTTCTAAGTAACTGACTTCTTAACAATTTGTCTCTGAACAAAACTAACTCCGTGGTTTCAGTCTGCAAGCGAATTATACCGACCAAGCGACCACTGCTTGTCAGTGAAGTTAGTGCCAACTTTAGCGGATAGAGGGCGTCATGTGGTCAGGTTGGAATGCCATGTCAATAAACTGTATGAGAGCGGGACACACCAGTCTTAAAGTAAGTCTAAACAGATTTAACATTGTGTCCATGGCCGAATGTGAATGTGGTGATGGGCTGCAAATGGAGGATCATATCTTCTGGGACTGTAAACAGTATGAGGACCAAAGGCCAACAGTGATGGACATCTTGTCTGAGAACAGCAAAAAGAATTACCCAAAATCAGTTACAGAGCTCTTAAGGCTAGAAGAAAAAAGATTTCTGCAAGGCGTCTGTTACTTCATAAACAACATTTCTATATTTATATAAAATACATATGTAAGAAAAGTAAAAGATGTAATTGCACTGATTATTTACAGTATACACAGATATAAGTACAGATCTATATTAACAAGCGTGGGACTACCGCTATTATAGAATAAGATGGTAATCAGAATGTGCTACAGAAGGCCGGATGGGTATCGCCTAGGCCTCTTTTGTATTTACATTTTTTCTTACAATAAAAAAAATCCTGACAGCTGTTAATTTTGGTTTTCTAGACCTGAGCCACGTTATTTCCTTGAAATAGCTCCTCAATTATCCTCACGAGGCTGAGTGGACCCCATTCCAGACCCGCTACTTCTCAGAAAATCTTCTAGCGCCGGGAATTGAACTCAAGACCTCTGGATCTGTAGACCACAGAGGCGGTCATTTGTCTCTTAATAATAATGTAATTGTTGTCTAACAGTGTCAAAATAGTTCATGAGCATACTCAGTTTCCAAAATAATGTGAAGCACTTCCATCTCAAAGCACATAGCAATGACATTAATGAATTATCATGTTTTATAGCCCTGTCATGTCTCTGGTATGAAACATAGTTCTGCAACACAATACCATCTGCTATAATACTGTACTTGCATCGCCTGTTACACTTCTGATGGTATTAGTCACAATGAGACAATGTCTATATTCACACTTTACTACATCAAAACAAGAAATTGTGAAATTACATGATTATAAAAGCACTAGACTAGTACTTAAAATAGACTAGCTCACTGACCAAGAGTTTCATTTAACTTAAAACAATGGCTTCATCACTCCAAGAAAATTTGAACAAAGAATTACAATATCTATAACAGTCTATCAAATGATATAATGCAGTGAAAACTAGACTCAAACAATGACACTGTTATCATGATTTATGAGTTGAAAGTTTTTCCACAATTCTGTAACCCTGTCAGAACTATATTTCCAGTTTTCATTTGTTTTGGTTTAATGACTCACATAACAATCTGAGTTGAGATTCCATTATATACAGTTTTGTCATATTAAATCATCCGATCTTCACGTTAAACTTCAGAAAGAACTGACATATTACAACATAAAACATATACCTACTGTCACTTAGACTGTAAATGCAGAGGCACTAGTAAAACCAAAAGTGCAAATAATTACAGAAATTTAGTGCACACAGTTTCTAGAATATCTATGCAATGATTCTAAGATATCTGTTCCTGCAACATGAGCTTCTTTCAACAGTCTCCATCTCATGCTTTCACAACATGCTACAGTGATTAGTAAATATGTAGAATTCAAGAACCAATTTTAAAATGTAAAAATGTACCATGCTTACACCACAATTTCTATTTTGTGTAATTCTGCTGCTTTAAATTTCATACACCATCCTCCTGACAAGTTATTTCCATTTTGATTTTGCATTTTGAGATGAGCAACCAACATCTTCAACCCTGTAATACTTTGTTCTGTAACATATATGCTAAGTGCTGCATGGCTAGTTGTGTCATAAGACTGAGCTGGTTAAGTTGTGTAATGATTATACTGTTAGTATATTGAAAAAATTTTCTACAGTAGCAAGACTCGTTACTGTTTACACCTAAATCCATGTACATCTTCCAATTCTAACACTATGTTTACAATTCAGTACAAATCTTTCCATTACCTGGTCGAGAGTTTAAGATAATTTGGGTAATAAGAGGGAAAATTAAACATGCAAACATTTAACATGCTACAATACATCCCTTTCAGATATTGTGTTTTCTTGCACATATATTTCTCTTCACCTTCATGTCAACTTTGCAGAATAGAGGTACATGTATCCCCATAAAGTATAAAGTAAGTACACAGCTATTCCACAAATCTCCCGTTACCAGAAGAAAATTTATGTTATTTTCAATATGTAATATCACAATATAAAAAAAGGTAAAGCTATCCCTCAGGCCATGGAGGCCCACATAGTTGTGAGATGTCGAGGCTCTCACATTTTCTAGACAATCGGCTCACAGATGGTGGTGAGGATGCAGCAAGCCTTCTTTAAAGCTTTGTTACATCTGGTCATTTCTACACTTTGGATGTGTATTTATAAGCAACTGGAATTGATCTGACCTTATACCCGAAAAGTATTTAGTACCAGTAGGTCAACTGGGAAGAAACTTGAAGTTTCATAATTCGTTTAGTTAATACCAGCGATAAGATTATGTAATTCCATATCAACCAATACAAGCAATCCAAACCAGTTCATAAATTCCAGGGCCTTATCAGTTTAATCTCATCTCTAACAGTTCCTGGGAAATCTGTTTGCTGTACAATTACTTTAATTTTTTCTTTCATTTACATATGCAAAGTGCTACAAACAAGACTGATGAACAATGCATGAACAAAATATTCACAATCACCACCATTTACTTACATGACATGTAGAACAGCATTACCCTTCACATGTTAAGAACCTATCTATATAAAAGTAATGGAGAAAAGGTGCAATGTCTTATGAGTGTAGGATCTGGTAAATAGATACCATGTGGAATGAGCATCACTTGTTTACAGTCACTGTTCATAAGTCATTTACATGAAACCTCATAAGAATTACAAATCTGTAATTCCATCATCAGAAATGTCCTTATTACAATATGCATTCAGATTTAATTTTTTTTTTTTTTAATTTGCTTAGTGGGGGGGTGGAGTCCAACTGGGTCCACTCAGCATGGCGGCCACTGATTGGCCTATTGTACTTGCCCCGGGTGATTATGATGATGGAGAATTGGGTGGAATGAAGATTGGCAGGGGAAACCGAAATACTCGGAGAAAACCAGTCCCAGTGCCACTTTGTGCACAACAAATCCCACTTGACCAGACACAGGATCAAACCCAGGCCGCTGTGGTGGGAAGCCAGCAACTAACCGCTTGAGCTATGGCGCGGCCCTGCATTCAGACTTTATCCATGAGCATCCAAAACTTTTTTGTCAGAAGAGCTGAATTACACAGAATTATAACATGCTAAATAAATAATTTATTTGGCTATATTCCTGTGAAGTATTCTCCTCACATTGTTTTTCAATTGTATGAGTTAGGTGAGAAAGTGTCTCTTTGTATTGGAGATTCAGAGGGGCCTATCATACCAACCCTGTTTGATAGATGATTACCGAGTATTGCAGAAATTCTAGTTAGCATTGGAAAACGGAACTGCATGGTGAGAAACCTGCGCCAGTGCCATTAAATCCACCACAAATTCCTCACAGATGAAACTGGGATTGAAACCAAACCTCTGCTGTGAAAATTCAGCAACTAACAGCCTCAGCTATGGCACCACCCTGTCTTGAGACTTGACTAGAAGGCAATACCCTTCATGTTTTATTTATGAATGCCCTAAAGTGAGTTTCCTTTAGTATCATCTTCTATATCAAGATTCTGAATACAAAGAATGCACACTTAGTAATATACTTGCATGCAGTCAATTGTTAACAGGTTGAATAAAAACTTCCAGCAGATGGAACTGTAACTGTCCAGTTTATGGGAAGGTCAATTGATGTTTTGTGTATGGTTAGGGTTTGTGAAATTCCTCACTTTCACCTCGCAATTTGGAATCTCCCCCCTGAGACAAGCAGCAAGTGGCNGGAAATACGAGTGTGGAAACTGTGAAAAGGATGAAAATCTCTGCTTCTGCTCAGAATCAAACCCAAATTCCTTTGTCCTACAGCACACAGCCTAGTCACCATACTGACTCATATGTTCCAGCTCACCAAAACTGTTAAAAACTTTGTAAATTCATTTGGATACAAATATAAAAATAACATTCAGAGCAGATTTAAAGCACATAAGCACATAGCCAGAGAATTTTCCCATAGTCACTTCCACATGGCATATGAAGTAATCTGGTAACAAAACTGGAAATCAATTAGTGTTTACATACCACAATGTGCACTAGTTTTAGATGCATGACACATTTACAGAAAGAGAGAACAATTATGATAAAACACACACATTCACACAAGCATAGAAACAGAGTGCATTTATTGTCTCCTTTCTTCTCTACCTGTCTTTCGCTCGGAGAATTCGTGAGGGGGCTCACAATGCAGATGCTTGCTACCTACAGGAATCAGGCGGTTCCCAGACAAGATACTGCCTGTTGTTGACAATCCATACTTCCGTGTGTGTGCCACTGCTACCCAACGCCAACACCACCATCACCACATCCACCATTATCAAAATCAGCACCAATAATTCATGTTATAGACACTCCTATGCATCTTAAAGATAAATGAACTGAATAGAATTTGCACAGCAATGCAGGTGAGATTCCACTTCAAACAAAGATGATGTTGACACAAGTTCACATTCAGTAACATGTCCAAATGAGTTCTACATCACTAGTCACCTTCTCTGTGCTGAACATGAAGTTTTCATAACTTACAAAGTCATCCAAAAACAGGCCAAGACTTCCAACTTATTCTCACCGTGAAAACAGGTTAATTTGTACTTCCATACATATTCTAATTTACTGTGGTAAAATCTGACTGCAGTATATAATGTACTTACTTCTGCAGATCGATCTGGTGACCATAATAAAAGATTATCATCATCCCCTGTTATATGTCACAACTGTATTAAAATGGTTTGTTAATGTAACCTAATTCCAAAATTTTCTCTAAATAACTGACAACGTACAAAGACTCGATTAATTTGAGTGCAAAGTACGAGTACCAAAACAATAATACACAGGAATAAGAGAAACAACAAACAGGAATAAAACTCTTGTTTTATCTCTAGTTTCATGCCTACAAATAACAAGGTATGATAAATGTAATCAGAAAATTAGTTCATCTGAAAGAGGATGGTAAGACATACTTCTCAGTTTTCACCTTTAACTACTGTCAAGGTAGGTCAGTCCATGTGCTGAATTTTTGCTCTGTCTCATACTGCCTTCTATCACTTCCACGTCCCTTCTACATCCTTCTACATGCATTTCTCTTTTCTCTTCACTGTCCCCTTTTGCATGCTGAACACCTATCCTGTCACCCTCATTCTGCAATTCCCATGTTTACCATTCCTCCTTATTTCATTTTATGACTTTACTGCCCACCTTCCTTGTTAGTTGCATTTCATCTGACAGATAGTTTTTAATATTAACACAGGTTAAGTACTAGGCTTATCAACTTAAATTTTATTTAGACACAAGCAGCCATCAGTGCTTATGTGTCTTAAAACCCACTCACTCACGCATAAGAGTAGCACGCGCACGCATACATGCTTTAAATTAAATTAAAGCAAAGCTGAACAAATTAAAGATGGTTCCACTTGGGTTAAAATTACCATCGCTATAAAAACTGTCATACAAAGTATCTGTAATCTTGTAGCCTCAAGATATAGCTGGCTATATTGTTCTATCACAACTCTGCACTGTCCTATATATGCTTGGTACTCATTTGTAAAGAAGGTAGACAGACGTGTCTACTTACTGTTATATAACAGTGAAATCATTATAGGAACATAGAAAGGCATGTACTGTATTACAAGGTGCACAGAAACATGTCTGAAGCCTTCTAATGGAGGTGGGTGAGGGAACTACAAACAACACAACTGATTCTAAAAGTATTCTAAAATAGAAGCTTCTATGATCAAATAGTGGTAAAATTCATTACCTGCACTTTCTAGTGACCTGCTGTCTCGATTCATCCTTCTGCCATCTCTTGCTCCACCACTTGCACCTGAACTTGTACTTCTTGATTCAAATTCCCTTTTGCGAACTGCCACATTTGGGACACTGCGTTTTGATGACAGTCGTGAAAGTTCACTGCGGTACAGGCTTGTTCTGTCATTAGGGGGACCTTCTTCTTCACCTAATACACCAGTCTCAAACTGACGAGCACGCTTTGACACCAATTGCAACATGGGATGCACATGGGAAGGGTTTTGATTACCAATTCCTTCACTAGGGGTTGATATTGAACGGGGATATTGCACTCCAGAGTCAGCAGCAGCTGCTGCTACAGGTTGAGATGAAGGCAGGGTAGATGGAAGTGATGAAGAGCCTCCGCCAACATGAGACACTTCCTTTGCACCATCACTGAATGCTGCTGAAGTGTAGTGTTCTCCTGATGCTCCAGGATCTGACACAGGGATGTTTTCATGTATGCGAGTCAAAGTTGTCACAAATGAGCCTTTCCCTCCACTGCTATGTCTCACACACACAGTACTTCCATTAGAACTGTTGCCAGCTACACTGGTACTGGGGGAGACAGGCATTATTGGACGAAACTGCGAGCCTGTATACTGACTGAATACAGATCTGTTTAATGCTGTAGTTGGAACATTTGATACTGGACCACCATAGACAAACTCACCTCGAATGTTACTTTGATTATCATCCCAAGGTTCTGATGAAGCTTGCTCATGGTAAGATTTCTCCTCACCACTAGTATGTGATGATAAAGAATCTCTCTCAGAGTCAATGTCGGACTTGACACGTTGGAGATTCTGGTGTGTGGGCTTGTTGTTGTTATTTGAGGAGGAGGAGGAATAATTACTCCTGCCACTGCTGGAGCTTCTAGGTGGGGACTGCTGACGATGTAAGACGGGAGAACATGATCCTGAGTTCTGGGGTGGCCACAAAGGTCGCTGAAATTTTTGCGGCCTTGCGTAAAACTCTCTTGCAATAATAGCATGTTGTGAAATGAGGGGTGAAGATGGTTGTTGTTGATTTCCTGAAGCTATATTCCAAGATATTGGTTGACTTGGCCTCTTCAAGAATTCCTCCTTCTGCTCAAAACTCTTACGTATCCTGGACATAATTAAGGAGTCATCGCTGCTGCACCGATCTTGACCTCCTCCAGTAAGAGTTGATGCTGAATCAAATGACACCAAGCTATCCTTGCTCCCTTCTGAAGCAGTATAGCTATCCCTGACTAAACCATTAGAAGGCAAAGAAACTGAGGAATCTCTCCTGGTGGTCCCACCATCAAGGCTCAGCCTACAACCAGCTGTACCTGAGTAATTAAGTCTCTGAAGATTGTTCACACTTCCTGCTGTCAAGTGGACATTCTCTGCACTTCCATAATTTGAACTAGCCACACTGTTATCACTCAGAGGAGCTGAAGACCCTAAATTCTGTCCATGAAATAATCCTCTACTTCTCTCTGTATTAGGATATGCTAAACCTCCCCCTGCACTGCCCATGACATCTTCACTCTGTCTTAGCTTGTACATTGCACCTGAACTGGAACCTCTACTCCATACTGAATTATCAACACTCACACGTCTTTCATTACCAGGTACACCGCAGTAGAGATTTGATTCGTTCCCACCACCCACTCCACGAAAGTCACCCCTACCCCTTCCACTTCCTGAATAACCATATGCACTTTCCCTGCTCATTGCTGGACCGTTACCTTCACTGTTCCTCCGAACAGATGGACTCTTCATATGTGTGTGAAAGTTTTGAAGTTCTTTATTTCCACCTTCCCCTACAGCACCATGATAAAATGTAACACGATCCACATTCCTGCCTTGATTTCCAGTTCCAGAAGTAGGTAAGCTCTGTGGAGACCAGAGGTTTGAACTGTTCATGGCAGAGGGCATTGCTGTGTGGACTGTTTGTGGTAAAGTATCAGTCTTTGCTTCTTGGAGGTCCGCTACGAAGGAAGGGTTTTGGAGGAGTAGCCGAGCGTTGGCTTGGTTCTGTGATGTGAGGTGCTGTCGGTGATGATGGCGTAGGTGGTGAGGCAATGGTAGTGATGATGCTTGTTGCTGTTGTGATGTCAGCTGTAGTGATGAAAAGGGAACTGGTGATTGCTGTCGCATCATATTGGCCCGGCCATTTCCTCTATGATGCTGAGCCGATGCCTCAGGTGACTTAACACGTGAAGGTCGTCGATTAGTCTCTGGGTTATGAGCTGTTTCACCAAAGTACTAAGAAAAATGACAAAAAATATCAAAAAGAAAAATCTCTTGAGCAAAACAGAGATTAACTTCTTTGTATCAACAGACCAGTGGATAAATACAAACAACAATATTTATACTCCTCTCCAAATATGAACTTCAACTTACCAACTGCAAAATGTCATCCTCTTTAGGCACAACGAAGAGATGGAGGAAATTTCCACTTTGCTGTATTAGCTGCACAACTTGTGCGTACGTACGTCCAGTGATGGTCTCTCCGTTCACACTAATGATGCGATCACCTGCACACACAACAACATCAATCTCCATGAACACGGTTTGTTTACAACACATCACATAAAGAGGAACACTTCATGAATGAGCTCAAAGGTGGAGAAAAAGACTTTCATTGCATTAAATTGTAATCAGTAACACTGTGTATATTACCATGACTTGCAATTTACAAAGATCGTCCTTGACACGAAAAGAAGTAATTCATCTGTACTGCTATAAAATGTTTTTCAATAATTATTTGCATTCGTTACAGACCTATCCAAATGACAAGAGAAAAATAATATAAGTAATATTATAATTTCATTAAGTCCTTTAGAGCATTGCTTTTCTTGTTTCTTTCCTAATAAATGATTAGGTGTACCTACAGGTAATGCAGAGAAATGGCACAAGGATTGTGTATAATGGTACAGTAAGAAGCAACCGTAGTCTGTTCCAAAGTCAAAGAATAACAGATTGGTGGTGGTGATGACAACGATGAAGACACAAATCACAGATATCTCAAATAGAGAAATTCTGACCATTCCACCACAATGTTCAGTGCAGTAACCAAATGTCCTGTATATTCTTCTCCTTCAAAAAAATCTGCAGAATATTCAAAAAGAGTTTTGAAATAATTTTGTAAGAAACTAATTAAGTGTATATAACAAAACAAGAATTTAGTGGAAAAAGACTACATTTTTAACAAGGGACGTCACTATAAAATAAACATATTCCTAGAGAAGATTTTGAATTGAATGTGCAAAGTGATTATTTTAAATAAAATACAGGTTACTGTAGACACATTCAGCAAGAAATGAAACCCTGCAAATTTTAAGCAAATTCATGCCTAACAATCTGAAAGAGAAACTTGCAGAAAACTGTCCAAACATTTTCAGAACTTCCAAGATATCATGTTATTAGCGGGCGCTCTCTGTCTAACTAAGAAGTCTGTTATAGCAGCAACACTCTTGACTTATTATTAGGTAGATGCTCATTTCAAATCTCAACCTGGGCACCATCTACCCTGGCTTCAGTCCCTTCTGTAAAATGTTCGAATAGCAGCTTGATCATACCAAAGCCATTTTCTTCCAATTCACCATTCATCACAAATTCCGTCATTTGAGGCTACAGTCTTACATGAGAGCATCAGAATATAGACAATAAAATAATTTCCACTTCCCTCTTCCATTACACAGCAGACAATTCAGAACTTCCTAAAAAGAAGTATCCTACGTCATATAAAACTCCACTGATAGCTGTTCATCCTTTGTTTCCAAACTCATACCAAATTATATACACTTTCTACATACTTAAAATGGGCTCTTAATCTCTAAAAGTGGGGTCTCTTCCTTAACATAGCTTAGAAAGTGGTATATACTGTCACATGTAGGGGGATGCATGACTTAATGAAGGGCTTTGGATTGGATTACTGGAATTACTGACACCTTATACACTCACTCACAACTACAGGCAATTACAGCACTATCACTAATTCCACACTTTACAGTTCACTGTTACACCCATTAGTGTCCTCGGTTTTCACTAGTTGTTTCCTTGCAACGGTTTCATAAGAGTCTCACTGACACTTCAAATCATACACGATGGCTTCTTTACACAACCTAATTCCTTTCTTGTCATTTATTCTCGATTAGTCTGCCAACTGCCAACCCAATAGAATCCCTCAATTCTCTGCCGCAACTGCCAACTCCAAAACTCAACTCAATTCTAATTCAGCTGCGTGAGAGCCTCGTTATATAGGCTGACCCACAGAAAATACCACTCCTATATTGTTGCCTGTTGATGATCCACTGCTGCACAGATGTGTTTTCAGCACCATTACCTAGCAATGGCTGTTTCTCTGCCTTCATAGTTCTTGCTTTGAGCACATATGCCATAATATAAACTGGAGTGACATTTGTATATACAGAACCTCTAAATAAATGAAGGAAGAAGCATTCCTAGAATAAGAATTATACTGCCAAATTGTTTCTTTGGGTTAAACTGTATTCATAACAGCATTAAGTACCAATTCTGCACTCTATGTTCTCATTTAGTCCACATTTCTGTCTGTAACTTAGTCTAAAGCTTCTGTTTAAAGCAAATCGATAAAGTCTGTTAGTTCAGTGAAATACTTTCCCTTCACTCATCAATTCCGTAAATGCATACTAAATTGTATGTTCAAATAAACAGAGTCCATTACAAAAACATCTAAATGCGAATGGATTGGCTTCCATTAAATACAAAATATCTTATAAAAGTTGTCGCCTGATGATATTTAAACAAGAAATAAAATGGAAACTTCTAGAAATACAATCATTTCTAAACTTGCATTACGGTTGCTTTCTCAAGAGTGGTCATCTAACATAACAATGTGTAAGTCAATTAACTTTCATACCATTCAAATTAGCCTGTTACAAATCCCATTTATTTTTTGTTTGTGCTAAATAATTTCACTATTTTTTAACCTTCATGAATAAAGAAAAAATATTAAATCATGTTTATGTGAAATTCATGTAAATCAAAATTGTGTGAAGTCACTGAATACCTGTATAAGAAAGCTAAAATTATGATGGGAATGCGTTATTTTCTGATTTTCTAAGATTCTGTCTCAGAATATCCAATATTAAATGTGTATTGGTCTAGTATTCCACAAGCATGGTTTAGGTGGTTTTACTTCACCTATCATCAGCTCCTAAACTTCTCTGTTCTCTCTCATTTGTTAATGAACTTTTGGTATATTCCATAACATTCAAAATAAATTCACTCTTTCATGTGTCTGCATGCATACAGAAGTTCCTGTCTTAGATTAATTCTTATTAAAAAAAATATTCTGCCTCCCACCAAGTGCCAGCACAGGACCAGGGCTCAGATAATGTGCTGTGTGACTAAGCCTACTGCATATTGTAGGGGTAGTGATATATGGATAGGGAGCATTGACTGACAGGTGGAAACCAAAGTTTCAGAATATTTCTAACACTATGAAATTGTTTGTATAAAACTATCTGTAAATCCTGACATGAAAATGTGCACCCATAATGGCCAATCTTTTCTTACCACTGCCACTGGTTTGCCCAGTATAAAATACACAGAACGTAGCAAAAAGATATGGATACGTATTTATAAAGTGACTGTCTGAACCATGTACCATCCAATTTCTTTACAATTTGATAGTGACAGCTATACCACACCAAATCAGAACATGAATGTTGATTTTGTAGTCTTCTGGGATCTAACACCATACTACATGATGTCCAAATCCAGAGGACAACAATATAGACATTTATCACCAAGAAAACCCAAAATCTTACATACTGATATTGAGAAAAATACCTGTGGCCAAACCAGCTGCATGTGCAGAACTGTTTTCACGAACATGTTTCACAAAGATTGTGTCCATGGGCTCATCCAAGGCTGCTGATACTGGACCCTGCCCACCATTGCCATGGAGCAAACCAAGTCGTCGATCACCTTGCAGAACCTGGAAATAAAACATATATAACAAGACATCTCAAAGTTAAAAAAAACTGTATATAAGTCAATTCTGAATCATCAATACCTACATTTGTAACACGCTACAACCGTCTGCAACTCAATGAACATAAAGAGACTGGAAGAATTTACTTTAAAAGTGGGTTCCAAACACCACATTATTATAGCAGAAGACAAAGGATCAGAAAATATCTAACTAGAAAGTCTGTTCTAGCAGAAATATTCGTGACTTGTATTCACTAAGCGCTGAGCTTGAAATCTCAACTAGGTAGGTAAAAGATGAAACTATCCCTGTTAGAGGCCATGGCGGCCCATAGGGTTGTGAAATGTTGAGGTTCCAACATTTTTTAGACAATCGGATCACAGATGGCGGCGAGGTTGTCAGCCTTACCTGCTGGCCACCCTTTACACCCAGGAAGATTCCTGGTACTCATTTCTGTTAGAGGCTGTGTCAACCCCAACACCATAGTGGGGCTGGAAGGATTAGGTCAACTGAAAAATCCAATGACCTCACTGGGAATCAAACCTGCAACCTTCCAACTTGTAGCATAGTGCCTCAACCAACTATGCCNTGCCCCTACCTCCCCCCCCCCCCAATCTCAGTTGGGGCGTCTGATATCCTGACTGACATCATTCGTGATTTTTATCAGTCTCTCTATGAAAATACCAGCACAGTACCTTTAGTAAGGATGCAACCTTATCCATTCTTCACTCACTTATCGTCCTACCATCTGACACCACACAGGCAAACCCCAACTTATGGAGGTAATGGGTTCTTTGAAATGTGATTCTAAATTGAATGTTCGTAAGTTAAACTTTTTTTTTTCATAAGATATATCAGTAAATTTGTTAAAGTTAGTTTGTTAAATGTTTGTAAGCCACAATTTATTATTCCAGGAAATGTCTGTAAATACAAAGTTATTTCTTAAGTCCATCAGTAGAGGTTCCTGTGGTCAGTTTGAGACACTGGACACCAACATTAAGCAAGCCATAACAAAGTGAAAATACTCTCTTGAATTCTACAATGCAAAGCCTAGTGTAAGTTTAATGGCGTTCCTCTGAAATGTCAGCAAACTTTCAACAGACTGCATAGTGTAACATCCTGAAACCTTAAATCTTACATAAAAAGTATCATATATATATATATATGTTGTTTTTAATATAAATTAGTAAGATAAAACAAACTTAAATGATTTCACGTTATTTAGAAAAGCACTTTACAAACAAAACATTCTAACTGGAAGGTTGCATCAATTATTAAGTCAGTTACATAAATTTCATTGGAACCAGGATAGCATAGTCAGTATAGCAAGTGGATACAGGCTGGATGATGGATGGGTTTGAGTTTGGGTCCCATTAAGGCCAAGGATTTTCTCTTCTCCACATCCTTCAGACCAGTTCTGGGACCCACCCAGCCTCCTATCCAATGGGTACTGGGGGCTCTTTCCCCCAGGGTAAGCAGCTGGGGCATGAAGCTGACCACTTACCTCCAGCTAGTGCCAAGGTCAAGAAAATGTGGATCTATATACATACATCCACTCCTCATATGCCTTCATGGCGTAGTGCTTAATTAGTTAAGCACAGGGACAACTTTACTTTTCACCTATTTACATAAATTTCATAATGTGATGTACAGTCATAAATTATATATGTTCTGTGGTTTTCATGGCAGTAATTGTTAAAACGCTGGTCTTCTAGTCATGATACAGGGTAGCTTTGTGGGTGCATACTGATGGTTCTGGGGAAGATGCTGTGCCCATCTTCAAGGCTGTAGTGTGTAGGTTCAGAAATAGGCTTGGTTATACAGTGAAGTTACAAGAAGGGTGGTCATGACAACCAAGGAGAGGGGGTAAATAAATGGATATCGGAAGAAATGGACAAAAAAAGGCAATCATAAGAGACACACTGGTTTATCTTAAAGACAGTAAGTGGGACAGACAGAGATAACAGACTCTTCCGGGGATCCAATGTTATCTTCTGGAAGAAAGTGGAATGTGTGAAGAATGCTGCTTCAAAATTCTGGTACCTGCCCACAAAACTGCATGGTGTCACAAGCCAGATGATCATAGTCTTAACAATCATAAGATATTGCAGCCTACTCTCAAGATATTACACGTACAAAAAATTTACATAACTCTCAATGAAAGAAGTGTTGTGTTTCAGAAGTGCAAGTTTCTACTACAGTAGGATTCAACTTTATCACAGTTCACTTACAGTATAGGATTCAGGAGGGTAGACGATGAAGTGGCGCAGTGTAAAACCAAAGCCATTGTTATCGAATCTCCTAAGAAACAGACTTCTAGGACCTCTGGACCAACCCTCCTGCCTCTCCCTCTGAAAAATAAATATAAGCACATCAATTAACAGTCTACATACTATTCATATACTCCTTGAAAGAAGCATAGGTTGCAAGATATAACAAACATGATATGGATTTCAATGTATACTGGGGATACAGTTTTTTCAAATGGTACACTAGTTGTGCTTCATAACCCTTTAAGACACATTAAATTGTTCAGTCATATAACTATCATATCCAGTGGTTCTGAACATTAATGAACATGCTTACCCACTGACTGGGCTGACACAGCAATAATGCTCTTGACTCATATTTGCAAGGTGCTCAATTTGAATCTCGTCTGGGATAGATTGAGGCTTTGCAGCTTTCCTCCATCACTCTAAGAAAATGTCTATGTAGTACCTTGATTAAGCTATGACAACAACATTGCAAATAGTTTCCAAATCATCACCTATTATCTGTCCATTCAAAGCTATAGTGTTGTTATTAAAAGCATTGTTAAATAAACCACAAATAAATAAATATTCTTGTGTTGCGATGTACAACGATAACTAAAACAAACTGTTTTAATTTCAATGCTTTCAAATTTGGCCACTTTTATGACTAATAAGCAGAATTACACATTATTTATTTGCTATGAAGGAAGTGATTTTCATCAACTTATAACAAAGAACAGTACTATGAGCTGCATAAATTCTAAGGATTGCTGACACATCCAACTGATAAATGACAATTCACAGTAAAATTTTGAAGTTTTAATTATTTTCAATGTACAGACATTTACTTTTAATGCAAATCTCTGCCTATTTCTGAAACACAGAAAAATATAAAGGAATGTGAGATGGTCATTTCATCATGAGTTAAACTGAAGTTGCTTTTACTACGTTACAAGCCGGAAGGTCACGGGTTCGATTCCCGATGAGGTCATTGGAATTTTCAATTGACCTAATCCTTCCAGCCACATTATGGCCCTGGGGTAGACTCAGCTTCTAACAGAAATGAATACCAGGAACCTTTCTAGGGGTAAAAGGCGGCTGGTGTGCATGGCTGACAACCTCGCCGCCATCTGTGAGGAGACTGTCTACAAAATGTGGGAACCTCGATGTTTCACAATCCTACAGGCTTCTATGGCCTGTTACAGGGATAGATTTACTATATTTTTAACAATGTGAGGGTAGGGAACTGGATTGAACTGGTTTCCAACAGAGGCCAACAGAGGGATACAGTAAAAATGACCACAACCATTCAGGTTACATAAAACTGTATCAATTTCCTGATCAGCTCAGCACCTGCAGTCTTTCAAGAATAACCATGACAGATTGGGTTAGAATTTGTGTTTGTATTTGTATTTGTTGTTGTTGCTGCTGCTGTTCCAAGAAATTATATAATCACATATTCAGCATCCCAGTGACATATGAGACAAATATTCGTAACCCGACATGACATTTAAAGGAAATAAGTATCGTGTTAATTATCAAAGAGAGATGAAATGACAGGAGGTTGGAGAAAACTGCACAATGAGGAGCTTCATAGCTTGTACTCTTCTCCAAGTATAATTAGAATGATCAAGTCAAGGAGGATGAGGTGGGCAGGCCATGTAGCACGAATGGGGGAGATGAGGAATCTGTATAGGATATTGGTGGGAAAGTCAGAAGGAAAGAGACCACTGGGAAGACCAAAGTGTAGTTGGGTGGACAATATTAAAATGGATCTTAGAGAGATACGATGGGATGGTATGGATTGGATTGCTCTGGCTCAGGATAGGGACCAGTGGAGGGATCTTGTGAACACGGTAATGAACCTTCGAGTTCCATAAAATGTTGGGAAATTCTTGAGTAGCTGCAGAATTGGCGGCGCCTCCAGAAGGGCTCAGCTCCATGAGTAAGTATGTATCATGTTAAGTCCGCGCCATAGCTCAAGCGGTTAGTCGCTGGCTTCCCAACGCGGCGGCCCGGGTTCAAACCTGGGTCTGGTCAAGTGGGATTTGTGGTGGACAAAGTGGCGCTGGGGTAGGTTTTCTCCGAGTACTTCGGTTTCCCCTGCCAATCTTCATTCCACCAAATTCTCCATCATCATAACCACCCGGGGCAGGTACAATAGGCCAATCAGTGGCCGCCGTGCCGAGTGGACCCAACCGGACTCCACCCCCACTATGCGAATTTAAAAAAAAAGTATCATGTTAATTATCATTGTATAATTAGTTATGCTTCTCCTGAAGCCTTACTCAAATTAATTTGACTCATTCTGGGCCTAAAATATATTTTCAGAAATTTTATACCGAAATACGAGTAAGTAACAACAGAACCAGTGTCGCAAGAGGGGTTTTCTATGTGCTTCGCATATATCCATTGCTATGTAATGGGCCAATAAACACCTTCATGCGGAGACAGATTCTTTGTAAACAGCCCACTGCTAGATAACGGGCCAGTAAACAAGCATTCTAGGACAACAGAAGAAGAGTGTTTTCCGTGGTGTCTGTAACGAGGAGTTATCTTGAAGACAATCGACGCTACAAAAGTCAGTCGTAGAATGAGAATGAGAATGTAGCGAGTCCTTAGCAGTCAAGGGTTCGGCTGAAGATTTGTTGTGACTGAGAGTGACTGTATAAGAAGTGTTAATAAATCCAATCCAGAAACCGTTATTAGTCACGGGGCTATAAAAACGTGACAGTATGTTTTGTACATTGGAAGTCTAAGTTAATTGCTTTCTCAGTCTGTCAGTGTCTTCTTACCATACGTCTGTGTAGTATATACCAGAAGATACGAGTATATGAAGTCGGTAATACGCAAGATAAGGTGAAAATTAAGGATTGGTGTGGCACTAAAGTGGTGCGTCTCGTTTACGACGATGAAGTGTGTTGTACGTCGACTGGAAGCACGTCTGGCCAATTGATTTCGATGGTGTACGAGTATATTTAGTGGACGTTTAGGAGTTGAGATTCTCACAGCGGTGGTTATGAACAGTTGTCTTCTGTGATATAACGCCGTGTAATCTGTTCAAAGTCGACAAATTTTTCGAAGGGAAATGTCTACTCCATCTTCAGGGGTGAAGAATAAGCCAGCTACTCTAGCATGAAGCAGACACCAAGCAAAGGTGTGCTTGTTCCTCCGAAATGTTGGTGGACTTTCAACGGATTACATGGAGTTATATCCCAGGAGACTGTCTTCGTTATTGGGCATTGTTTTTATATTTCTTGTATTCTGGGGTCAGCAAGTTTTGTGAAAGTGTACGTTAGGGTTTTAGGCGTGTTTCTTATCGATACATAGGCCTGAAAATTGTATCCAGGTGCCCTTAAATGTATTAAGGCATCTGAAAGTGAATAAAACTCGGTTATGTAATGGAATTGTTGTTTGTAGGTTTTCATCAAATTGTACGCAAATGAAGTGACTGTGAAATGCTAATAACAAGGGAGAGTGGTCTGAAGGCTCCCACAACCGTCATACAATAAAATATGGTCATGAGGCCCGTGGGACTCGGAACCAAGAACCACTGTGCTGGCGAGGGCCTGCAGAAGTTAAGCAGTCAGCTGATAACAAATAACGGAGCTGTGGTTGGCATCAAAATGCAGCTGAAGCTCAGACAGTTGTCATGTATAGTTATGCTGAGAGATGGGCCGCGCCATAGTTCAAGCGGTTAGTCGCTGGCTTCCCACCGCGGCGGCCCGGGTTCGACCCCGGGTCTGGTCAAGTGGGATTTGTGGTGGACAAAGTGGCGCTGGGGCAGGTTTTCTCCGAGTACTTAGGTTCCCCTGCCAATCTTCATTCCACCAATTGCTCCATTGTCACCCTCACCTATCATCTTGGGCTGGTACAATAGGCCAGAAGTGGCCGCAGTACAAGGAACTTAATCCCACCCCACTAACAAAGAAAATTATATATATATAGTGTGACATGCTGAGCTATGGATGACGCCCCTCCCCCACCCCCGCAAGCCGTGATGCGCCGAGCGAAGCCGAAGCGAGCCGATGTTAGCCGAGTCCTAGCATCCTGGTCGCTAGGCAACGCGAGTCAACAGCGATGACGTCACCAAGGGTACCGCGGGTAAACAGGATTGCGAGAGACGACGGTAGTAACAGCGGTTACTACCGCTAGCGTTGCTAACAACACAGCGCCAGGCAACAAGGGTGCATATTACGTGGCCGTTTTCTGTATTGTCCGATCGAGGCTACACGAGGAGCAGCGAAGGCTATTCACAGTTAGTCCTGGAGCTACCGCCGAGTGAGTCCTCGAGCTACCTCCGAGTTAGTTCCGAGTTAGCCAGCAACTAGTCAGTTGTATTCTGGCATTTGGAGTGTACTATTTGTGATACTACAGATAGCAGTAATCGCAAATCTGTAATTTGGGTGATTGTAAATGCGAATGCGAAATAAAATTCGCTATATAAAATACGGCGTGAAGTTATTTGTCGCGATATACGCCCAATACGCGACAATATATGTAGAGAGATAGCTATTTCGGAATTTCGAATACGTGGAGCATCTACAGCATTCGTTGAAACAGCGATATAGATTTTTCTTCCACATTTGCGATAATTTATCCCAAACAGATTTTCAGGTGATCGATCTCTTTACTTATAACTGTAATTATAATTTCGTGAGGTGAGACTGAGTTTACTGTGTACGTCGGCCAGTAATCTGCCTATATCTCTTTATTTATTTCCGTGAAACAATTTTTTAAGCTAACATCCAGTGTCTTGAGAAACTAAACAAGGCTATCCGGTCGAGAAGAGTTTCCGCTTGATTGGAATTAATGGCGCTACTTCCGTTTCACCAAGAGCTCTACTTCTTTAAAGTGGCATGATCTATGGCTTGTTTAAGCGACATTATCCAATCACTTATATCTGTCAAATGTCCCTGTACAGACAAGGTAACGGTCCATACATTTGCATCTCGAGGACTGTCTTGTTTATTGCCATCGTCAGATCTGTTTATACATTCTAAGTCCGCGTACTGCATCGAATCCAGAATTTGCTAACTGTGAGTGCCTTCCTACAGCTTCTTCTTCGTGTTATGCCCTCTGGCCGCTGTGGCCTATTT